TGCAAACAAGAATAATTCACACAGAATATTACACTGTGTTAATTAAATAGCTGGAATGGAAAAGGTCAGGCCATGACTGAAAGATGCGCATATGGGTTGTGAAGCTAGGAAAAGATGGAGCGATTTCAAATCAAGCCATCAAAATAAATTATTTAAACCATGATTAAGTGAATAATAAATACACCTAGATTTTTTGAACCTATTTTGACAGCCCCTTTAGTTCGCTGCTGTTCCTCAGAATTTTTTCTTTCTTGCTCACCCATGGAAGAGTCGAAGTATCTTTAAACCCCTCGTGAGATATCAAAGAATTATTCTGCTTAGATTCCAAGTTTTCCTTTGCAAATAATGAGAGGCACAAGCAATTTTTGCAGCTAAAAGGACACTGCAAAGACCTACTTGCTTTATTTCTGGATGAGTTTCCTGCCACTAGAAATGTTCAAAGAGAGAAATATTTTTTCACTTTGTTTACCTCTACAAATAACAGCACTTTGGCTGAATGCCACCAAATCACTTAAATTATAGTAGTAACATAGCCCTTTTTAATTGAAGGAACACTTTGGCATAGGCTAAACTGAGGTGGTAATGTATGAAAAAGACTTATTAAAACAGGGAATTAATCTTAGTTGGAACCTCAAAGCACTACCAGAATATCAACAGTCATGGTGAAATCTGAATCTCATCCTGTATTTTTACTGTATTTTTGTCACTACAACTGTACACAGGAAGCTAAAATTTTAGTTTATTCTCTGTATGTCCCCCCATTATTTAAATGTGTATGAATCTTATTTTTCCTGGGTAATTTCCTGAACTTTTCTAAACAAAATATAGTTTGCTCTTCCATCATAGTTGTGCTCATTTCATTCAGCACATAATTCCTTTTTGCACCTTCAGTCTAGCAAACAGAGCTGTGTCAACTAAACAAAATGCAATGTTCATGTTTCCTGAAGAATTTCATGTGAGTCTGTGGGTTTGGTTACAAAACTGGGGGACGAGCACCACGTGAAATTCAGCTTTGTGCTGTCCAGCACATCAAGAGTTATGACACTGACACTAAAACCAGCCTGTGGGGATCCCACCGTTCAACTCTCCCGAGTTAAAGGCATTTATCAAGCCAACTTCCAGACTTTGTGACAGAATGCCTACGCAAGCCACACTGAAATGTCCTTTTTTTTTTTTTTTTTTTTTTTAAGGGAAGATGAAGCACTGTGCAGCATATGAGCCGTTAATTTTACGACAAGTGCAATGGTTGATATACAGATAAATTCTCACACAACCTAACTGAATTAATATATACTTCACTCTATTTAAATGAAAAGTTTCGAATAAGCACAGTGTCCCCCACATGATGGTATATTAACTTGAATTATTTCATAATGGATTTCAGCGCAGGTTTTACTTGAACCCTACTGCTTTC